TGGGAGATACCCTTGAACGAATTGGTACAGGAGACCGCTACTTGACCATAACAGCAGTAGCACAGACACTGAGATTGACAATCAATAAATGGGACCTCCTGAAATTGAGAAGCTTCTCTAAGGCAAAAGAAACAGTCAACAAGACAAAATGGCAACCCACAGACTGGGAAATGATCTTCACCAACCCCACATCTGACAGAGGGCTTATCTTCCAAATATACAAAGAACTCAAGAAGCTAGTCACCAAGACACCAAATAATCCAATTAAAAAGTGGGCTACAGAAATCCAGTTGCAGAGAGGGAGGAGTGATGAGCAAAGGGGTCAAGACCAGGCTGGAAAAACCCACAGAAACAGCTGACCTGAACAAGGGGGAGCTCATGCACCCCGGTCTGATAGCTGGGAAACCAGCATAAGACCAACCCAAACTCCCCAAATGTGGGTGTTAGGAGGATTGGGCAGTCTATGGGGCCTATGGATCAGTATTTATCCCTAGTATATGAATGTACTTTGGGAGCCCATTCCATGTGGAGGTATACTCTCTCAGCCCAGACACAAGGTTGAGGGACTAGGCCCTGCTCCAAAGATATGACAGGCTTTAAAGATTCCCCCATGGAAGGCTTCACCCTCCCTGGAGAGCAGAAAGGTGTTGGGATGGGGGTTGAGAGTGGGACATGGGAGGAGGGGAGGGTGAGAGAACTGGGATTGACATGTAAAGCAAGCTTGTTGCAAATTTAAATAAAAAATATTATCCAAACAAGTGGGGTACAGAACTAAATAGAGAATTCTCAATAGAAAGTGCCCAACATCCTTAGCCTTCAGGGAAACGCAAATCAAAACAACTCTGAGATACCATCTTACACCTGTCAGAATGGCTAAAATAAAAAACTCCTGAGACAGTTTATGCTGGAGAGGATGTGGAGAAAGCAGCACACTCCTCCATTGCTGGTGGGAGTGCAAACTTGTAAAGCCACTCTGGAAATCAGTATAGCGGTTCCTCAGGAAACTGGGAATCAGTCTACCTCAAGATCCAGCAACTCCACTCTTAGGCTTATACCCAAAGGATGCACATTCACACAACAAGGACACCTGTTCACCTATGTTCATAGCATCATTATTTGTAATAGCCAGAACCTGGAAGCAGCCTAGATGCCCCTCAGCTGAAGAAGGGATAAAGAAAATGTCGTAGATATGCACAATGGAGTATTATTCAGCGGGGGAAAAACAATGGAATCTTGAAATTTGTAGACAAATGGATGGAACTAGAAGAAACTCTCCTGAGAGAGGTAACTCCATAAAAAGACAAACATGGTTTGTACTCTCTTGTAAGTGGATATTAGACATAGAGCAAAGGATCACCAGCCAACAATCCATACTTCGCTGATTCTATGAGCAGAAGAAAAGATTATCTTGAAGAATGAGAGAAAAAAATAATTTTGAAACCTCTAAGGAGAAAGGGCTTTGTTTCAAACAAAAATACAAAACAAAACCAATGACTAACAATTTTAAAACCATGTTGTGAATGTAAGAATGTAAGAATGGTTGCTACGGAAAAGTAAAGATGGAAATATGTGTTTAATAAGAATTAAATTGTTGGGAGACTGGCTGTAAAATTAGGTGAATATACTTAACACTACTGACCTACTGTGTATTTAGAAATGGCTAAGATAATAAAAATTATGGAGTGTGTATTTTGCCACAATCAGAAACGATCAAATGGTTTGGGAATGTACTTAATTGACCCAGAGTTCCATCCCAAGCATAAATCAGGAGTGGTGGCAATATCAGCGTCTGGGAGATGGAGGCAAAGACTGAGTCCAAGCTTCACTGAGTGATACCCTCAGAACAAGATGCAAAACTCCACACAAATCTAGTTGTAGGATAAATTGCCCAGAGTAATGAGAGCAACCTAAGTTGACACTTTATCACCGCAAGTAAAATTTATCTAAATCAAACCTTCTTGAATTTACTAGAAATTTTATTTCCTATCAATTTTACCCAAACTATCAAGCATTTCTCCGAGCTTGCTGAAATATAGCTATGAAACAACTTAATCTCAGTTTTTACACCGATGTGTTTGGTTTTGCACATTTGTAAATAGAAACATGTCTAAAAATTGTGAAAATATTAATTATTTTGACAAACGATATGGTATTTAATTTGAACAATATATAACAGCTTCACTGTATAGTTGAATGGGGGACTACCATTCACTAGAATGCAAATGTAGATGGTAAGGCATAGATTTATTCTTTTCAATTTCATTATCTTTTATGTGAGTTGATAGTTGATGTAATGTCTTGTCTACACATATATCTTTGTGAGGGTATCAGATGCCCTGGAACTGGAGTTACAGAAAGTTGTCAGTTGCCATGTGGGTGCTGGGAATTGAACCTGGATCCTTTTTTTTTTTTTTTTTTTTTTTTTGAAAGTGCAGTCAGTGCTCTTAACCACTGTGCAATTTCTCCCCCACTAGATAAATTATTTTCACTGAGGAGTACTGGCTGCCCAGAAGACATTTGGCAATATTTTGTGGTGTTTTGGTTATCATAACTGAAGTAGAGGAAGTGCTACCCCACATAGCCATAGTTCAAAATGTTACTAAATGTCCTATTGACAGATCACTGTCACAAAAAAATAATCTACCTGCAAAGGTCATCAGCATAACTTTCAGAAATCCTAGGTCAGAGTCTTCGCAAAATTGGCAGGAGCTTTCCCTCCATCTGTAATACAAAAACATAAAAGAACCAGAGACAGATATTGGGGTTCAACCTGAAGATCAGGGAAGTAAAGCAGCCAAGCTACCAGAGAACTCTTACCTCTAAAAGGGCTGGGGCATGCCTGTCCTCTATGTGGCTAGAGAATGAATCCTCTTATTCTCAGTGTATCTGGAGAATGAATGCCTGATACTGAAGACCTTGTTTGCCTTATCTACCTGCCTAATGCTGAGATTAAAGGCATGTGATCCCAGAAGCTGAGATAATCTTTTTGTGAGCTGTTTCTCTTTAGGACTGGATATTTCTTGTGTAGATCTGGGTGGCCTTGGATTTACAGAGATCTATCTCTTAATTCTGAGTCTTAGGATTAAATGTGTGTACCTCCACCTCCTAGCTTCTGGCTATTGGTATTAAAGGTGTGTATCACCACTGCCTGATCTCTATAGCTTGAGGCAGACTTTGTTTCTGAAACCCTAGGCAAACTTTAATAAATCATAAATAATTTATCATCACATCTCACATCCATCTGCCATTAAATTCCATTTTTAGCCTGTTCTATTTTCTCTTGGGATAGCACCCATACTAATAACTTCAGTATTATGTCTATGATGTTAACTCCTATACTATTACATTTTGGTACAAATGTTCTGGTTCTAAACCATTCTCTATCTCAATATACCTTCATTTTTTAAATTAAGATTTTCTGTTATTATTTGCAGCAATTGATATGGCTATTTATATTTATAGGGCTGAGTTGGGGGGATGGGGATAGTGGAGGTAGGAAAGGCCAAAAGGGAAATGATGTCATTAGATTTTAATTTCATTTTTTTTTATTGAAAAAAAGTCAGACCGTTGAATTTTACCAAATATCTATTGGTACCTAATTTATGTAATAGGCTATATAAAGTGCTTGGAGGAAGGTAGCCATCTTGGAGGTATGAGGAAGCTATGGCAGTAAGTGCTTTAAATGGATTATCCTTAATATGGTATCATTTTACACAAATATTATCACAGCTGGAAAACAAATTCCAATAATTTAATTAGTTAAAAACTACAGAGCTTGTAAACAGAAAAGTTTGTTAAAAGGGAGTGCTTGTGACATTATGGATTGAAATTTCTCCATTAGAAAACAATGAGGGCAGTAGTGTGGGAAAGTGTGGTTTAGTTTGTGAACAGGGAAAGTGGCATAAATATCAAGGTTATTTAGTGATGAAGATTAAAGAAACCCAGAAGCCTTTTCTCAGTTTTCTGGCACCTTCTGGTTACTATTTCTGGTTCCTTACCATATAACACAGAATATAATAACATACCACAATAGTAAGATGAGTCATTGTTTTCCATAGACATAAGAAAAAAATAAAACGTTACCAGTTAAACATGGAGTGCCACCAGTTGTCTGTTTTCAGAGAAATCTTGGATGTTGGAATGAGAAAAAAAAAATACAGCGAGTTTTCAAAAATGACAAAAATTTTAAAATACAAAGAAAACACAGTGGTCCTGGGTTGTATGATACATGATGATTTTTTTTGTGCATCCATTTCTACAATCGGCTTGCAATTTAACACTGTAATCAATTAGACAACGTGTTTATATACAGCTTTTTATATGGTTGTACCCACTTTCATGGCTCTGTGATGTATATGCAAGTGCACTGTAAAATGCTTAATTTCTTTGGTTGCAGCACCCCAGCGACCCTCCCACACACTCATTCATAAAGACATGTCCTGTTGTCAAGTTACAGGCAAATTGACATTTTAAAAATTAAACTGTATAAAACTCTCCCTGCAGTTAATTAAACTGTGAGAGAGATGTGCTATGGGAAAGCATTTCATTAAATGTGCACTTTTTTTTGCATTCCATTCTCGTAGAAAGGTTAAAATGGGATGGGGAACTGAGAGCTGTGGAGGCGGAGAAGGGATATACGTCTCAGGATACAGGAAATACGGTAACAGCGAAACCAGGAGGAAGCCAGCCCCGTGCCTGGAGGGGATCCGCCATCTCAGATCTCTCGGCCTTGCCAGGGCCCACCAGAGAAAACTGACGCTCTGGTCCGGCCATACCTATGGGGGACCAACCTTGTGCCTCCGGGAGATCCACGCTCCCACCAGGAAATACGCGGGAACCCAAGCCTCCAAAAAAGCGCTGTCTCCTGGCTCCGCGGTGGGATTATCCAGAAGGGACTCCCAGTGGAGGTAGTACCACTCTCCCCTCGGCGCCTCCTCCTGCATCTACTGGACTGAAGTCTCACCCTCCTCCTCCGGAGAAGTAGTGAAATAGATTTTTTTCCCAGCCTAAATCAGGTCAGATACGTTCTTTCTCATCTGGGACATCCAGGCTCTTTGAAACTTAATTACGCATTTTCCTAGCTCTTCTCCCCTTTCCTGTTCTTCCCACAAATTCAAAAAAGAAGAGAAACAGCATACACGCGATGAAAGGCTCTTTTACAAAGTATGCATGGATGAAATGGGTATTTGATTGCATTCAGTAATTAAGATGTTTTACATGAGATAATTGTACTCTTTTAAAATAAACTACAGTGTTTTGATTTTCGTGACAGGCCAAGGTGTAGGGAGGTACTAACAAAATGTTCACTGGTTGATAAATTAAAATTGGATGAGGATTGACTATAGTGTTCTCTCTACTTTTGTGTGTTTTGGAAATTTTTTTTTCATTTAAATATGCTTCGTCCAAGACCAAGAGCAAAGATGTGCCTAAGGCCTAATGCCTGTGCCCAGGGGGGATTGTAAGGTGAGCTTTGAGAATTAGGTTGATTTTTTTCTATGTAAAATGGGATTTAATAAGTGAAAACAAAAGTTACAGAATGATGGTCAAACTCAAGTACCATAAAAATGTGCTTGTTCAAGGTATTCAGCAATCATGGAAGGACCAAGTCACTGCCGGATAGTAATGAAAGCCATCAAAGAGGAAGGCAGAACTTTGGGTGGGCCTTAAAGAGTGAGTGACATGAGCCATAGACATGTAATATTTTTTAGGCCTACTGTTTCTAGACGGAAAATCCCAGGGCAGGCTTGTTCTGAAGCAGATGGCCTGTAATTCTCAATCTGTGAAAGAGATGGGCTACAGGAATGTAGGCCTTGACGGTTTGCCGAGTAGTGCGCAGTTTATTCTTGAAGCGTGAATCCCATAGGCCATTTCCAAACAAGCGCCGCTTGTGATTCAAGACTCTAATTCTTCCTTTCAGGAAACAATAGCCTGTTTAAATGAGCCTTATAAATTGTGAAAAAGAAAACAACCAAGTTTCACTCAAGTCTCCTAATTCCTTATTCATCTCACACCTTTACTTGTGGTTAGGCCTTGCCAGGGAGATGTGGGGGCAGATGACTAAGGCACAGTGGCTGTTGCGTAGCAGGAGTAATAGACATTTGAGCAAGTCATGAATAATGTTGGTAACCATGGATGTTCTGGGTATCAGGTTTGTTGCTAAAGCATGAAAAAGGATTGTTATTCACTTGATTGTTATTCCTTAGGCCCTTAGGCTCTTCATCCCCTCGGTTTTTTTTTTTTTTTCTTCCTCTATTCAAAGGCAAAATGTGGTAATTCAGGCTACAGGGAGAGAAATACTCACCTAGAAAACAAAGGAAGCTGTTCAGGACAAGAAGTGTGAAGGAGATGCTACAAAATTTCTCCCCAGTGACTTAAATCATAGACAATTGTAATGGCACATAATGAATCATTTTGTGTGTGCCACATATTTTTGTAAAGGGTTTTGCATGTTTGAATTTAATCACAAATCCACCAAAGGATGTTTGTATAGGCCAGTAAGTTCCTAAGTTACTACAAGTTGTGTCCATGTTGAGATTTGATTAAAGAGAAAATGCTTGGTTCCAGAGATGCTATGCTGAGAGCTGCTGTACAGAACATACCCTCTTCATACTGTGTGCCAGGCTAATAAGAATGTGCCATGGAATTGGGAGCTGTCGGAACACAAGGAAAATGAGTCAGACTGCTTGTGGCAGATGAAATGACTTCACCTTGCTTTACTGTTTTTCAGTCTTTGAGAGATTGCAGTATGACTCCATTTCCTTGGTGCATTTGTAAAATAGTTCACCCATTGAAGACCATGATGACTCTTTCTAATGCTACCCTGCTTTTGCTGGTGTCCTGCACCTGGAAGTTGTGATGCTAAAGGTAATCTTTGTTTTGTTTTGTTACTAAAAATGCATGTAAAGGAAGAAGAAAGGGATTGATTATGGAATGTTCAAAATAACTGGGCAAAACCCAAGAAGCTAGCATTCATTAGTCATGAAATTGAAACTTTTTTTTTTGTATTATATGAAACGATATGTACCAAAAAATAACCACATAAATCTCTAAGGCGTTAGTAAATTTACTTTATAGTTTGTGTTGCTACTTCAAAGTGAGTCTTTTTAAACCCCATTTTCCAATTGTTGCTAGCAAAGGAGAAAATGACTGCTACTTTTATACTGATTTTATAACATGCATCCTTTCTGAATTATATTTTTCTAGTAATTTATAGATTATCTTGGGCTATTTTTAAATTATATTGTATTGTATTGGCATTTTCTTCTTTACCAATATGCATTTTTTTTTTTAGTTTGTCCAAGAAAATAGTGGTTTTTTTTTTCTTTTTGGTGTTTTGAGACAGGGTTTCTCTGTGTTTGTTACAGCCCTGGCTGTCCTGGAACTCACTCTGTAGACCAGGCTGGCCTTGAACTCACAGAGATCTTCCTGTCTCTGCCTCCTAAGTGCTGGGATTAAAGGTGTGGACCACCACCACCCAGATGAAAATTAGTATTCATAATTCTGAAAGGCTTTATTGTGAATGGGGGTGGAGGTTTGTTTTTCATCAAATATTTTGTCTGTATCTACTTGAATAAATATGTTTTCCCTATTCATATGATAACATGAGAATGTGATAAGTTACAATAATTTTAACAAATTTCCTTATTTGGGTTTTAACAAGTCTTCGTCACTTTGGGGGGGGGCTCTGGGTAGGGCAGAGATTGGCCTCTTGTATTGGTCTTCAGGAATCATCCACTTTTTTGTCTTTTGTTTATTTTGTTATTTTTTTTTTTTTTGAGACAAGAGATGTTACCTAGACCTCATGAGGATAGGCTGGCTGGCCAGTGAGCCCAGGTGACCACTGTCTCTACCTCCCCAGCTCTGGGATTGTAAACCTGGCCACCACACCCAGCTTTTATTTAGGTGCTAGAGATAGAAGACCTTTATTTAGGTCTTTGTGCTTGAATATCAAGCAGTTTGCTTACAGAGCCATCTCTCCAGCCCTGTTTGCTTTTTAAATTATCTATATTTCTTTTTCTTCTAGTTCCTTTTCATTTATTCATTTTTCTAATTCAAGAAATTGGACTGCAGCTCAATATTTCTTTTCTAAAATAAAAAGTTAAAATAATGAAATATTATTCTCTACCAGTTTCACAGGTTTATATATATTATTTTGTTATTATACTTCAATAATTATCATTTTATAATGTCTAATGATTTTCTTAATATGTCCATTTTATATGCATGGGTGTTTAGCCTGTATGTATGTATGTACCACATGTATGCTTGGTGCCTACGGATGTCAGAAGAGAGCATCAGATCCTCTGGAACTGGAGTTACAGATGGCTGCAAGCTGCCACATGGTTGCTGGGAAATGTACCCCATCCTTTATAAGAGCAACAAGTGCTCCAACTCTTGAGCCATCTCTCCAGCCCCAGCCTTGACATTTTATTTTTGTTTTTAGATTTTCAGTTATTTATGCATTCTTTAAAAATTGTATTATGAAGCCATTAACCAAGATACAGATTAAATTTTATTTTCTCCCACTTTAAAGTATTTTTAAATCATTCTTGCAACAACAAGAAAAAGAAATTTTTATATATGCTATGCATCTCAAAAGAATCTGGTAATAGAAAACTTTTTTGGTCAGGTATGGTGGTGCACACCTTTAATTCCAGTATCCAGGAGGCAGAGACTCGTGGATCTCTATGAGTTTGTGGCCAGTCTAGTCTACATAGTGAGTCAGGCCAGCCTGGGCTACATAGTGACACCTTGTCTACAAATGAAACAAAAACCGAAAGCTTTTTTCCTTTCATAAATACAAAGATTATGGTTAGGATGTTTATTGATATTTAAGTCCATGGTTAAGCTGTGAGGATATTATAGAAAACCTCCCATACCACTTGTCTACATTTATCAACTATTACTTTGCCACATTTTCTCTCCCATTGTCTTTCATTCTGCCATCTCAAAGGAATTTGCTGCTGTATTTCTGCTTTACTTCTTAATACCTTATTATGTTTACTTGACATAACTACTTTCTCATACACTGTTTCCTTTTCTTGGTTGAAGTTGCAATCCAGGATAATATATTATGCTAAGGTTTTTTTTTCTTTTTTTTTTTTTGTGTGTGTGTGTGTCAAATTCCTTTGACCAGGAATTTCCTTCAATTTCTTAAGTCTTCTTTATTGCCATTGACAATTTCTCAAAATATAAGACAATTATTTTGTAGAAGACTCATTAATTTAGGTGTGTATATCATTTCCTCCTTTTTATATTTTGACAATATATGTTGGCAGGAAGACCACAGAATTCATATTAAGTTTTTCTTTGGACATCATATTCGCAGCTCGCTCATGATGCATATGTCTGATCAACATTGACTTCTTGGTTAAATCACTGGGATTTTGTTAGATTAACCTGTTGTTTTCTTTTTACAGTCAGTAATTTTGCTGTGAATACTTGGAGATTCTGTAACTTTTCAGTTTCTCATCAAACTGTCTTCTAGTAGTTTTTGTATCAGTTGATAATTCTTAACTGTTTTTACTATGATGAGTATAGAATAATAAATTTCAAACTCCATAACTTTTACTATATTCATTAGTTTATATTCTACTTGAAGAGAACACTTTCTTCCACTTACTTATTATATTTAGGCACATAAATTTTGTGTTATTTCATAAATAGCCTGATGCTATCATAATTATTTTATTCAGTTTGTCTTCTCTACCCTTTGACATGTTCACTATTCTTTGACAGATATTTAGACTTATTTTAACATTTCTTTTCTTCCTCACTTTTAGGCTCATCTTATATTTTCTACCCCATTGACCATTTCTCTATTTGACTGTGCTACTGGGAGATCGTATTTACAAACTGAGGTGTGCATCTATGGATCTTTTTTATCTTGTCATTTAATATTTAATTTCAGAGTACAAACATTGTTTTATATTTGCTGAAGTTTGCCTTATGTCTTAGAGAACATAGTGATTACTGTTTCTCATGTGTTTGTAAAGGGTTTGTATATTTCACCTGTTCCATATAGGGGCCTATAAATATCTGTTAAATGTGTTATGTTGTATAAATCTTCTATATCCCTAGTAAAGTCTAGGATACATCTTTTATCATTTTTGTGACCCTTTTCTTAAATCTTTCCTTAAGATCTATTTTGTTTGCTATTAATGTAGTTACAGCATGATTCCATTGTGGTGATGGTATTTTTTTTCCCATTCTTTAATCTACTCATTTTTCTTTTGAGACAGGGTCTCTCTATGTAACCCTGGGTGGCCAGGAGCTCACTATATAGCCCTGGGTGTCCTAGAACTCCTGCCTCTGCTTTCTGAGTGCTGGGATTAAAGGCATGTGCCACCATCCTCTGCCCATCTCCATTATTTGCTATATATTGTATTTTCTTCAATTTTTAAGTTTATTATGAATTTAGGGCTCAAAACAACTTTACTTTATTACACTGCTGTGGATGAGAAGGCTTGTGTAAGTTTCATCTGATTAAATCGAAATGCTGGCCAGCTGCACTCCTTCCCAGAGGCTCTAGAAGAGATTTTGTTCTCTGCAACTCAGGTTGTTGGTAGAATTGAGTTCCTTACAAAGGTAAGAGTGAGACCCACATTTACTTGATGGATGGCAGCTGATGGGTGTTCCCAGCTTTTAGAAGCCCTTCATTTGTGATCCTCTTTCATTGTCTTCAAAACCAACTATAAGTTGAGTCTCTCTCACACTTACAATTTCTCCATTTCCTATTCTCATTCATCCTCTCTCTGACTCAGGTAGGAAAAGGATTTCTATGTTTAAATACACATCAGTCAAAGTATGCCACCCAGTTAATCCAGAGGAAATTCTTCTGTCTTGAAATCCATAACTGAATTACATCAGCAGAGTTCTTTCACCTTGTAAAGCGACATAGTCGCCAGTCCTGGGAATTGATGTGAACTCCTTTATGTACCTATTTTTCTGCTTTCTGAAATTCATTATAGCAGCTAACCATAACCATAACTCAGTGTTTGATAATCCATTCTTTCATTCAACCAGCCAAAATATTTTTTAAAACATATATTAAAGCAAACATCTGTTATATTACAGACATTGTACCAGGTGCCCATACTGCAAAAATAAGATGTCTAACTCACCCACTAAAGCCATAAACCAGTTTGGTAAGTTCTATAGGAATTAGCGCATGATGCTGTGTAAGAAAATGAAAGAGGATATACTGCCTAGATTAGAAGTACCAAGATGGATTTTTGTGTGGATCAATATCTGTACTCGGTCTTGCAAAGCACTCTTGGGTATTAAGAGTGGGAAATGGTAAAATTATGTATTAGTTAGTTTTCTGTTGCTGTGATAAAATACAATGACCAAAACAACCTAAGGAAGAAAGACTTTATTGTGGTTTAAGGTTCCGGAGAGATAGAGTCCATAATGGGGAGGAAGGCCTGTCAGCAGGCAGCTGGAGCAGGAGGCTGACTGATCACATTTTATCCAGACATAGGAAGCAGAGAAAGCAAGCAGGAAGTGGGGCAAGGCTGTAAACCCCCAATGGTCACCTCCAGTTACTTCTTTCCTCCAGAAAGGCTCCATCACGTTTCCTATCCCAGTCTCCCAAGTTGCTAGGTTTACAGGCATGTGCCACCATACTACCTCCTAACAGCACCAACTGGGGACCAAGTGTCAAATATAGGGGACATTTCTCATTCAAACCATCATAAGGGCAAGTAAAGAATACTTCAAGCAGTGAGACTATAATGACCAAGAGTACAGAGTTTATTCAAGTCAGCCTGTTCTTTTACAGGATACAGATAGCAGTAGCTAGATCTGCAAATTGTGTAACTTCCTGGGATGTAGGATGAACTTATTGAGTAATGTGGAGCACG